AAAAGGCGACAGTGGAAAAACAGACTCCAACATCCAGGAGGGGGTGGGGTCGTGGGGATGAAGGGGAGGGGACCTCGCGTGTGGACCACAAAGTACCTGCATATAAAATGCGTTGGAAATATGTTCCCCGAATAATATTTCACAATTTCTATAGAATGTAATCTTCCAATAGCAGCAGCGCCTTACGAACTTTTCCAAATAACGGCTCACATATAAAACCAACTCTTGCCGTGCGCTCGCTCGCCTCCAGAGAGCCAGTCAGTCACTGGTTCACCTGCGCCGCGAGGACGAAAGTTGCCATATTCCCCGAGACGTCATTCCTCAGTCGGCTCCGGCTCCTTTATTTAGCGGGGGGCGCGGGGCCGGGCAATATCCCTTATGCAAATGTTTGTTTGTGACGGATGGCGGGGTCCGGAATATGTCCCGCCACGCCCCGCCACGCCACGCCCCTCGCCGGTCTTGCCTCGCTCCCGTTGTTGCAAATTAGAGAGACGTGGTGAGCGCGGCCCTCGGCGCTCTAATCACCTCCTAATTTAGCAACTGTTCCAAGTGTGCGCGGGAGAGAAGCAGGGAGGGGGAGTATAGTTTGACTTCCGGTCGCGGCACGTACCGTCCCAGTCGGTGAAAGGCACGTCTGCTCGGGGGGGGGGGGGGGGTGGAGAGAGAGAGGGGTTTGCAACGAGCTGCACACATTATTGAGAGTGAGTGAGACAAAGACAGAGACGGAGTGAGTTTGTGGATGTGTGTGTGTGTGTGTGTGGTGGGGGTATTTGGCAATACCCCGCGTCGCGCCACGCCTCGTCCGCGTTTGTGATTATTAGAATCAACAAGCACCAACAGAGTCACACACACACACACACACAGAGTGAGAGAGAGAGAGGAAAGTAGAGAGTAAGCGAAAGCGAGGGAGAGAACGAGAGAGAGACAGAGAGAGACAGAGAGAGTAACAAGGTGGACGGGGGTTGGAGAGGTCTCGAGTGCAGTGTGCCTGTCAAAGGCAGCGGACGCAACTATGAAATACGATAACGTTCTGCACGGCATGTATACTATAACAGCGGAGTATGAGGTGATGAGGTAGTCTATCTTTGAAGGCTAGCAAAATGATTTTCGTGTGCATCCGGGTGCAAGCAGATTCCAGATATGCAGACAAAATAAAATAAAATGGGGAAGTTACGCCCCTCAGATGCTGTCGTTGGAGACTTCTGTGAACGTGGGACCAACCGCTTCCAACCACAGTGGTCATCAGAGCATACTACCACAAAAAGGTATCGGGGAAAGGGAACCGCTAACACCCGCCTTTCGAACTCAACCAACTCACCGAGGGCCGAGGAACTCCCATGCACGGCCCGCTTCCACTGTGAGTCGAGCGTCGAGCCACACCCTGGTTCCAGAGCCGCTCGTCATCTTTCGAAGCAGTGAATCAGGATGGCACTAACAACCACTTCGCCGCGGACTTTGGATTTGGTCTACAGTTGGTCCGAATGAAGCTGTGAAGCTGCCCGTGGCCGTATCGGTTGCTGCGGCAAACTATTCGTAGCTACAGACCGGGACGCATCGGGCGAGTTGGCCAGCTGGCTGTCTGGCCATGGCGGCGCCGTAGGCCGATCGGGTAGGCAACCCGTCCGCACCACTGCATGCGGTACGGTCTACGAGGCAGGGAGAATTAGACACCTGGTACTACAACGATGCAGCACTGTGGCCCCGCCCGACCTGCTCAACCAGTTTGGGATATCGTCTTCGCGGAGATGCGGCACGAAGCGTCGCGTCGCAGAGACGACGTTGCGACGCCGCGACGCCTGTTCAAGGACGTCCTGCCGTCCAGCGCTGCCCTTGCCCTCACCCCGTATGGGCCCCGAAGGGGGGCTCAGGCTCACTCGGTTGGCCCTCTCCCGCCTCCAGCAGGGGGGCCGCCGGGGAGCGCACCCCAGCTGCTGCGCCGCCTCCTCGAACCCCATCATCACGTCAGCGATCGGTCGTGTGAACGGCTTCGAATGAGAAGAGGAGCAGCGTTGAACGCGACAGTATTGCAAACTAGATAAACGTCATGAAGTCGGGGTCGACCTTGTCGCCCGTCGTGTCAAGTTTGTCAACCCGGCCGCGAAGTCAGGAGGAGTCGCGGGACGGAGATGGAGGAGGCAGAGGAGAGGCAGCAGCTGAGTGGCGAGCAGCGTGGAGCCGCAGCAGCCCGCCAGGGGGCGCCACTATCCGGGCGGGCCCTGCGGGCGTAGCTTCTCTGTAGACGCGGAGTATTCCCGACCTTCTGCAACCGCGTTCGTCTTTTGTTTGACGTCACAACAATAACAGAAGCAGAAAGGTAGGGTCTTTATGTGTTACGTGCGCTCCGTGAAATCGCTCGGTTGGGTTAACGTAATGGTACTTCTTGACAAGCTTGCCGTTTTTCCTTGAAGGAACGACGCGCAGTATAACGGCAGCATGTTGACAAGCGTTGCCGACGCAACCGTTCGATGGAAAGGGCTCATGCATTTCCCCATCAGCCCTAGCCTTAACCTTTTGCGGGCGTTAAGCACGTCGGCACCGACCCGTTCATCGAAACAAGAAATTATTGTGAGTCTACGAATGTATTATTTTATTTTATTTTTCACAAAGGTTACAGTTGTTTTAAACGTTCTTACAAACGTGGGAATTTTTCAGCGTTGCTTTCGCGTTCTCAAAGTTCCAGATGACAGTAATATTGATGACGTTCGCTCAGCTTTCATTGCTTTGGCAAAGAAATATCACCCAGACAGTGGATCTCCAGATGCTGATGCTAAAAAGTTTCAAGAGGTATATGAAAGTCTTGTATGAAATTTTATCTCTCTAGTGTGAAATGTTAATAAGCTGGATTTTCAGGTAGAATCGGCATACCGCACCCTACGAGCCAAATTTTCTAATGACCAGAAAACTAAAGTAGATGAGGAAAGTTTAAATGTTGATGTGCAGGAACATGATATTCAGGTCAGTTTGTCTTCCTCTGGCATTGAGTTTTACTGTGCAATACTTTTTGAAATCAAATCATCACTATTGGTTATAAACAGCACACAGCTCCACAGCACAGACAATATCTTAGCTATGATGGGGTTGGTTCTGGTACACCAGCACAACGTCAAAAGCAATACCAGAAAAAGAGAGCTATGGATGCTGCAGACAACGTGATGTCGCATCGAATGCGCAATCTAAATTTAAACTGCAGTCATAATAGGGAAGAAGCTCTTGTTGCCAAAGATAAAGTTGAAGCACGAAAAATAAAAACCAGGTGTCTGTGCAGCCTATGTTATTCCTCTATTTGATAAATGTGAATTGTCCAAGGTGTATAGGTGTGACACATCATTGGTATTGTTTCAGGTATGGTATGGACCGGTTGGTAGAAGATTTAATTCAGGAATCAATGTCAAAAGGTGACTTTGACAACCTGTCGGGTAAAGGAAAGCCTCTAAAGCAAGGTGTGGCAAACCCATATGTGGATTTTACCACCCATAAATTGAATGAGGTAAGAAATATTATGAATTTTCTTCTATTGTCAACCAATTTGTTTTCCATGAACTTGAACCTGATTGTTCGGCCTATTAAAATGATGACACAATTACGTTTTACACAAGGTTTTGATTGACAATGGTTTCACTCCTGAATGGATTCTTCTCCAAAAAGAAATCAGAGAAGAGCGTGACTTGATTCGTGAAAACCTAACTTTAAAAAGAAAATCGCTGGGACCTCTTCCACTTTCATACCACGAAGAGCATGTCTGGAAACATGCCGTTGAAAGTTGTCAAACATTGGTTCAACAAGTGAATACCAAAATAAATAAATATAATCTTGTTGTGCCTATACTTCAGAAGCAAATGTTACTGGTAAGTTTTATTTTACAAGAACAAGTATGAATTGCAGATATATGATTAAGCTATTCAATTTTTTTCTGCTTTTCTTTTTTCTTTCAATGTAGGTGCAACTAGATAGAGAGGCTAATAAAATCCTACAAGAGGTTGAGGGAACAAAAACACCCCTCCAAAAACCCACTGTGTTGAAAGATAGCTACGACAAAAATGGAGGCCTCCTAGACATTCTGAGCACATTATTTGGGAAGTAACATAGTAATTTTGTGTATTATTGCATTCTATTGCACCTTTAATTGGATCAAGTCTGTGATAGTCACTGAGATAATAGCCGAGGGGAAAAAAGAGTGTCTGTTGAGATTTCCTTTAAGTTTCTTTGTGAATTTAATAACTTAGAATCATAAGGATTCAGTTTTTAATCATTTAATTTA